TTTTGTATGTCAATTGAGTCCAATTAAAATAATTAAATAAATAATCAAAATAGTTTTTTCTAATGAAATCAACAGTTGCAGCAAATTTTTCATGTTATTATAAAGTAAGTTTTACTAAAAGAATTTTTACAGAGAAAAAATTCTCTAAAATAGCGAATATAATAATTAAAATAATTAATAACTTCGGAAATATTGTAAAATCCCTAGCATTTCCGTTTGAAGGTTTTTTTTCATATTAAAATAATAGATCTTTTTAAAAATTAGAGTTAGTTCATTTATACGTCACTATTAAATGTTTGCAGAGTTGAATTTTATAAATTTTATTCTATAATATGTGTGTGATAACCGATTGTCAAATAAAATCTGTAATTTAATCAAATAAAATCCTGTTCTTTTTCAATTTGAAAATTTATTGTTTTGTTAATTTCCCACATTTTTCGTTATTTATTGTTTTATTACTTTTTCCCATGATTATTGTTTTTTATTAGAAATAATAAAAATATTAGTAATGATTATAATTACAATAGTTTAATTCTGCTTGAAAAAAATAAAAGGTTCATATGAGGTAAAATTTTTTTGTAAAATATATATTTATAGGAAAAACGATCTTTATTTGTCCAACGACTATTTTACAATAATTTATCGTACAGTAAACATTTAAAAGGGTTTAAAACGATAACTTCGTACATATATTTTATAAATAATAATAATATAATAATAATAGTAATATACATTGAAACCTTCGTTTCTTCGCCGTTTTTTTTAACGAAGATAAGGCGTTGCTATATTATTTTGGTTAATTGTATATATATACGAATTTATTTATTTATGTATATATATTATGTATTGTAGCATTTATATACGATCTTTGTAGTTTTCCTTTTTTCATTAAGAAAGGCAGCGTAACGTTGCAGTATTACACGAACGTTATATCGATACACGATTTGTTGATTGAAAAATCGGTATCTTCTCAATAAAGGTCGTCTCAATCTTTAAATAACTAATTAATCAAATCTTTATTTTTGGTTTCTTTATCATTATAATATTGATTATAAAAATTCTTACTTCTAATAATAATTTCAGTATTAATAATTTTTAAATAATAATAATAATTATTATTTTTAAAATTAAAAATACGAATTAAAAATTATAATAATAATAATAATAATAATAATAATATTAATATTAATCTAATAAAAATAATGTTTATAATGGAGTATTCATTTTTATTAATATTATCCTTTTAACTGAAAATAATTTTTTATTCGTTACTTAATACCTATTTTATATTATAGATATTTCTTATTACATTTAATTTCTTAATATTAAACGATTGAGTCAACCTTAATTTTATACAACCATTGTCCGTAAATTATTTTATTATTTATATATAAATATATATTATAATGATAATATATATTATATATATAATATTTTATAGTATATTATATAATATATATAATATTTAAACATATATATATATATATATATATATATATATATATATATATATATATATATATATATATATATATATATATATATATATATATATATATATATATATATATATTTATTTATAACTATGTGAGTCTTCAAATATGGAATTTTCGCTATTATTCATTCATTGTTTAATATATTAAACTTTATTCATTTATTAAGTTTTAACAATATTAATTTAACATTTTGTATAGGTAAAAATTACTATTATAAAAAGATACTACGAGGAAATGACTTACGCACTGATATGTATAAAAAATGCTTTTTTTCTACATTCACTGAATCGATGAGAAATGATAAAAATTATTTTCATGCGTTTTGTATTTACTTTGGGTATTTTAAAAATAATTATAATAAATTATATTCAAATTTTTTAATTCGATGACATTTTTTTGGAAACAAAGCCTCTTTTACAATTAAAAATATTCCAATAAATGAATATTCAAAATTGACAAAGGAAAAGTTTTACTATAATTAAAAATTTTAACTGTTTCGTTTTATTTTAACTTTTTAAGGGCATTTGAACCATTATGACGTCACAATTTTAAAACACATGCTTTGCAGAAATTGTGACGTCATAATGGTTCAAATGCCCTTAAGAAAGGGAAAATAAAAAAAAAAAGAATTAGTAATGCAAAAAAAAATAATTGTTAATTTTAAAAGAAAACTAAATGCTCTTTAAGGTAATTTTTTTTTTTTTTGGTAAAAAGCAAAACATAATTTAATTCAAATGTGCTAATTACCTAAAAATAGAAACAAAAATCAAGTTTATTTTTCTTCCGAATAATTACAATGAGTAAACAAAAAAATATCAGTGGACTAAATGATTTTTAATATACCATAGGCACATATTGGCAACTAGGAGCGAAAAATGTATGCCAGGATTTTTTCTTTAATGGGGTTTCCATATTTGCAGACTTTATTTATTCTATAAAATCAAATTGTTGATTTTTTTTTGAATAATAATAATAATAATATATAAATTATGATCCACTTCTCAATTTAAATTACGTATTATATATTTTTACTTTAATGCTCGTATTTTATTTATATAGGAAGGATGAAGTGAGGACGTTCATAGAGATGATTTTCTTACTATTCCCTTATTGCAATTATTATGCTATAATTCGTTAATAATAATTTAATTATATACCAATTTAACAATCGAATAGTATATATTTATAATATATACTTTTTAATTCTTCAAGCAAGACTTAAAGTTAAAGCTTAAATTTACTTTTCTCTTTAATTACCATAATTACATAATACATGACAGACTAATATCTTTTTTCTCAAATTTCTTAAATCAGTTTATAACTAAACTTTTTTTTGGGATAACTTTTCATTTACTGTTTTTTTTTTTTTTGTTAACGTTTACGTTTTAAACACTTTTCTAATTATAATGAACAAAGAAAAAATTAAGTCAACTGTGTGATTATAAAATATTTTTTTAACAATTCGGTATTTAAATATCTAACATGTTTCTTTGTTAATAATTTATTTATATTCTAGTTAATTTTAATTTCAATAATTATTTTAACTAATCAAAAGCAGAAATTATATAAAATAAAACAAATAAATAATATAATTTAAATTTCCGAAATAATAAAAATATGAAAATGTGACTCAATTTTTAAACAGAAAATTAAAAATAAGTTAATTCTAATTGTAACTAATTCTGATAAAATTAGTTTTAATTAATTACTTTTCTTATTTTTATTTTCATTATTAATTATTACGAATTAAAATAAAATTAAAAAGTTGTTATTTCAATGAGAGAATAAAATAATTAATTAATATAAGAATTGAAAATTCATAATTATTAAATTTAATTATATTTTTATATTTTAGTGGAATATTAAATAATGCTGGATTAAATCAAGCAAAACGAAATATGAACTTTCAAACAATTATTTAAAGATTAAAAACCATTTGATACGAATATATACTGGAAAAGGAAGGAAGTGGCGAAAGGCAAGGTTGAGCAATATAATATAACATCGCGAAAACTATTATTGTTATATAAAACATGACATGAATATAGCATGTATAATCGCGGTATTTTTTTTTATCATAACTATTTATATTTATATTAATCGCGGTTTTTCTTTAAATATATTTTTTATACACACAAGTGTCGTATCGGGGGGGGAGCAGAAAAAATTCAATTGCCGCGCACACTTTTAACATTTTAAGATTCATTCAACACTTTCTTATTCACATTTCGTAATATAATAATATTTAAAAAAAAAAGAATAAAATAAGCCTCGTGTTTCGATTTCGTCGTTCGTTGAAAGAATTTTTTTTGTCGTATTGTTCTTTTTTTCTCTTATTTATTGACTGTGCGCAATAATTCAACCATTGCAACAAAAATAATTGTGCAATAATCAGGTTTCGATTTTTTAGATTTGTCTCTTTGACATCTACGTTGTTATTCACACGTTTTACACTCGTTACGTATTATAAACGTATTACATAATTTCTGTGAGAAAATTACATTTTTTTATGGCACATGTCTTTAATTATTTTTTGCATTATTTATATTTTATTTTTTTTCATCTTTTTTTGGAAAAATTAAAAATTTTATATGAAACTTGCCATTTGATTAATTATAATAATCTGATAATTAATTATAATTTTGATTAATTAACAATAATTTATAAATTGGCTTCTGTATTTTAATATTTTTTATTTTCAATTTAGTTGAAATTTTTTTTTTTTAAAGGATTTTTTTCTGTCTTTTTTCAAAATCATATTATTAAAAATTAAAATAAGAATTTAAGTAAGAATTTTAATTCTCTTTTTTTATATTCATTCGTCACATTCATTCATATGGAAATATCACAGAAAAAATATGCACATGCTGTGTAAATCGAAAAATATAAAATAGGCGCATCGCCGCTTTAATATATTTACTACTTAGTTATTTCACTTGTTTTTTTTTCTTCATTACAGCGAACGCTGCTGTAATTTATCTCACAATTTCAAGGCAAATAACTATTTCACTTTAATTGAAAAGCAATAAAAAATAAATAAATAAATAAAACAAAAACAGAAAAATTATGATAAAATTTTAATTAAAATATTATTCCTTAAATTATTACAACTTTGAAAAAAAAAATTTTCTTTATTAATAAATTTGGAATTTAATATTGACAGGCGAAACTTTTTTTTATTTAAATTACATACAAAAGAAACTAATTTATAAAATAAAAAGACTAATAATTATCAATTATCATAATTCACAATTATAATTAAGATAATTAAATAAAATAATTATATTATTATTATTAAAATAATAAGAATTTTACTTTGAAAATCATAAAATTTTATTATTAAAATAGTAAAATGTTATTATTAAAATAATAAAAATATTATTATTAAAATATATAAATAATAATTATTATAATTCTAATAATAATAATTTACAAACTAATGGAAATATTACAAAATTCATTGAGAAAATAACAAAATTATTAAATTGAAAAAAATGTGACTTTCAACTGGAGTAATAATAAGAAAAACAAATAATTTGCAGCTGAGCCTTCATACATAACAATATAAAGTTATTTTAATACTATTGCCCATTAATTATACGAAATGCACATTATATTATATTTATACTGCATCGAATTTTTTATTTCTTTTTATTATCTATATATATAATATTATATTTATTTTTATAATGTCCTGTCACTAGGCAACTTTTTATACCTTATTTTCATTGAAAAAGCTACCTAAAAAATTTTCGATTCGTTTTTTATCGATAGGCTTTTTTTTCTAATCATCATTGAAAGATGTCATTTGACATGCAAATTGCGACCTCATTATCGAACAGCGGTGGAATAGTGGCAGATGTAATTTCTCTTACCGCAATACTGGCCGTTCTTGTTGTTGTACTTGCTGTACCTGAAGTGCCGGAAGTCGTTGGTATCTGCTGTGCAAAAAAAATTAATTTTTTCCAAAGTACATGTATAATTGTAATTAATATTATTATTTTAATTTTTTTTTAAGTAGTGGTAGAAGATTTTAGACAGACAAAAGACGTTAGAAATAATTTTTAACGAAACAAATGTTATTATAATAAATAAGCGCAATTACAGTCTATTTTCAGTAGAAAGAGTCGATATTTAGTCAAACAAAGCCTAAAAATAAAAATATTATTTTCAGTAGTGAAAGTCAATTTTAGATCAGACAATGTTTAATTAAAATCTTTTTTTTAGTAGTAAGAGTCAATTTTAGATCAGACAAAGATTAATTATAATCTTTTTTTAGTAGTAAGAGTAAATTTTAGATCAGACAAAGATTAAGTACAACCTTTTTTTTTAGTAGTAAGAGTCAATTTTAGATCAGACAATAATTAATTTGAATCTTTTTTAAGTAGTCGGAGTCAATTTTAGATCAGACGAAGATTAATTAGAATATTTATAATAAATTATAATATAAAATTCCACTTAGTAAAAAATCAGTTTTATTAGTTAAAAAAAGTCTAATTAATATATTTTCCAGTAGTAAGAGTCAATTTAAGACTAGACTGATAGTTATTTTAATCCTCCTTTTGTTTCAGTATCAAAAGACAGTTACCGTCAGACTAAAAAAAAATAAAAAACCTTTTTCAGAAATGAGAGTCAATTTTAAATAATAAACAGTAAATTAAAATCTTTCTTCAGTAGTAAAAGTCAGTATTAGTCAGACAAAGTTTAAAAACTCTTTCTTACCAGTGGAAGTAAATTTTAAACTAGACAAAGATTTTTAAAATCTTGTTTTTTGTATCTGTTGTAAAGTTACATTTAAACTGGAAAAAATATTATTGAAACTTATTATTTGTTATTAAATTGCAGTTTTAAACAAAAATTTTAATTAAATTTTATTATCAGTAGTAAGAGTCAGTATTAGATCAGACATAACTTTATATTATTTGTCCCTTTGTTTTAGTAGTAAATATCAGTTTTTGTGCAGACAAAACGTGTTTTTCTCTGTTTGCAGTAAATTTTAGTTTCACTCTAACAAAGCTCAGTAAAATTTTATTATTCAGTAATAAAGGTAAGTCTTAATCAGACAAAGCTTAAAAAATTCTTCTTCAGTAGAAAGAGAAAATTTTAGACCAGACAATGATTAATTTAATTTCACTTTCACAGACACGTGATTCAGTTAAATTTTATTATTCTGTGGTAAAAGTCAGTTTTAGTCGGATAAATCATAATAAAAAACTTTTTCAATAATAGGATCAAAATTTAAGACAGAGAAAGATTTTTAAAATTTTGTTTTTTTATTCAATAGTAAAAGTCATCTTCAATCAAACGAAACATTCATTAAAATCTTTTTTTTGTTAGTAAGGAATTTTAAACACAAACTTTAATTAAATTTTCTTATCAGTAGTAAAAGTCAGTTTTAGTCAGCCAAAACATAATAAAAATGTAAAAGTGAATTTTAGACCAAAAAACAATTAATTAATATCTATTTTAAGTAGTCAATATCAGTTTTTGTCCAAATAAAATATTTTTAAATCTTTTAACATTAAATTATAATTTGGCAGACATAAAGCTAGGTAAAATTTTTTTATTCAGTAGTAAAAGTAATTTTTAGTCAAACAAAGTAAAAAAAAAATTCTTCACTAGTAAGAGTTAATTTTAAACTAGAAAAAGATTAATTAAAATTATTTTTGTTGTAAATATCAGTTGATTAAAGGATTTTTTAAGTAGTATGAGTCAGGTTTTGATCAGACATAACATTTATTTATTAAAGCTAATTAAAATTTTCTTTTTCTGCAGTTAAAAGCAGCTTTGTCAGTTCAAGAAAAAAATTCTCCTTTAAGTAGTAAGAATAAACTTTAGACCAGACAAAAATTAATTAAAAATATTTTTCAGTAGTAAATATCAATTTTAGTCCAGACAATACGATTTTTACTCTATTGACATTAAATTTTAGTCTCACAGTCACAATGCTCAGTTAAATTTTATTCTTCAGTAGTAAAAGTCTGTTTTACTCTGCCAAAGTCTGAAAAAATTCTTCTTCAGTAGTAAGAATAAATTTTAGACCAGACAAAAATTAAATAAAATTATTTTTCAGTAGTAAATATCAATAATAGTTCAGACAATACAATTGTTACTTTATAGTTTGACAGTCGCAAAACTAAGTAAAAATTTTCTTCTTCAGTAGTAAAAGTCACTTTTAGTCGGACAGGGTTTAATATAATCAATTTTTCAGTAGTAAGAGGCAGTTTTAGTCAGACAAACATTAAAAAAAACATTCTTATTTATTCTTCTTTAGTAGTAAAAGTCAACTTTAGAAGAAACAAAGCTTATTGCTATTAAATAGTTTTAACAAATGAACGTCCCAGTAAAATTTCAATTTTTCAGTGATAAAAGTCAATTTTAAGTCAGACAGATAATTTTTATAATATTCCCATCCAATTATCCTGTATAAAATAGTAAAATTTCTTCTGCATTATGCTTGTATGTAAAATTAATTACCTCATTGTAAAATAATTCCTTTCCTTCTTCGACTGATGGCAATAGTTCGTCAGTTGAATGTGGAGTTCTTGGACTTGGTGTTGGAGCGATTTGTTGTTGTTGTTGTTGCTGTTGTTGTTCCCTTTGTTTCGTTAATCTTAATTCTTGAATAGCCTGTCTCTGCTCCTTTTCATTTCTCTCTCTTTCAAGTCGTCGAGCACTAAAACTTCTTGCCGAAGAACCCGTACTGTGAAGTGAAGCTAAACTCGGTCGACGTGAACCTGCATATGCCAGTAAAAAAAAAAAAGAAATAAAAATTACTTGACATAATTTTATTACCACTTGCAAAATTATTATATATTCTAAAATATGTTTTTTATATACTTCAAAATAATTACATAGGAAATAACAAAAATCTTAATAATTATTCTCTATATGAAACTTATGAAAGCACACACTTAATTTTTTTTCTCTTAATCATTTTGACTATCACTAATTTTGTTGTGATAATTAATTAATATTTGTAATTTCTAAATTAAATAATAATAAATATATAAATTAATTAAAATTATCAATTTCATTTAATTTAGAAGTTATTAACTTTTAAATTAAATCAAATTGATAAAATTCCAAAATTATTAAAATTAATAATTTCCGAATTAATTAATAATTTATCAATATTTATCAATAATCGTTGTGAAAGAATCGCAAAAAAATTGAATGTGTGATTTCATTGTGATAATAAATTAATATTTTTCATGCTTTTTAAAAGTCTGTTGCTAGAGTTAAAAAATAAAAATTTTGAATGGTGAATAATGTTAAAAATATCGAATTTTAAGAACGAATAAAAAATGAAAAAATTTTCAAGTAGTAATTTTGTTTATTTTTCTGTTTGGAATTTTTTCATTATACTTTTCTTTACTAATTTACACAAAGTGTAAATTCGTGAATTCATGAATTTATGAATTAAAAACTAAAAGTATTTATTAATTGGCAAAAATTCTTTTTTTGATGCAACATTTCTAAAAATTTTGAAAATATATTTTGCTAAAATCAGTGGCTAATGAATAATTTTGTTATTTACGTAAAAGTATTTTATTAAATCTAAATTTATTATAAATTCTTTTATCTACTTTTATTATTATTTTTTTACTCCTTTTTCTTTTTTTTTCTTCTTCTTCTTCTTCTCTTTGTTCGCTTCTTCTTTTTCTTTTTTTCTCTTTTTTCTTTTTCTGCTTTACTTCTTTTCTTCTTTTTTCCTTTCCCTTTTTTTCTCTTTCTCTTTCTTTCTCTCTTTTTGTAATTTTTTTTTTATTCCTATATGTTTATTACTTTTTTTTTTGCAAATTTACTCTATTCTATAAGATCTAATCTATTTTTTTCTCTCAATAATCATATCTACAAAAACAATCTACAAATGTGTTTTAAAAAAATAATTTTGCAATCACTGATGTTAACTTGAAAGTATCAAATAGCAACTAAACAAAAAATTTGAATCAAATAAAAAATTGATCTAAATTTTTATTATCAATTTGATCCACTTTAGTATCAATTTGCTACTTTCAAGAAAACTGTGATTAGAATAAAAAAATATATTTTATTAATGAATTTATCATTCTATTTTAATTGAAGAAAAAAAAAGTGATTTAAAAAATGTGAAAAATTAAAGAAAAGGACACTTTTCAAAAAAAGTGAATAAGCTATAAACGAAGCATTCTATAAAATTCTAAATCTAATTATATTATTAAATAGCTAATTAAATTTGAATTCTACATGCGACGGTGCAGCAAGAAAGCAAGTGAAAATTCCACAAGCCATAATCTTACCAGAATAATTCGTTTTCAATATGAGAAATCTTTTAGGAGGCCGCTGCCATCTTGCTGTTTCTCAAAATGGTAATTTTTTTTTCCTATTTTTTTTCTCTATTATTATAATTATCCAATTCTATTTCCAATTAATTTTTTCTATTTTTTAAAATTAAACAATTTATTTTAAAAAAAAAATTGATTTTTAGTTTCTATTTTCTTTCATTTAATTAATTAATTTTTTTTTATACATTTAACTAAAGTTTTCATTTATAAAAATATTTAAAATATAATCTCCATTTAATAATTTATTTTTGTGTCCTGTAATGTGTAGTTTAACAGTTGATAAATAAATAAAAAATAAAGACGTTTGAAGAATTTGAAAAAATAACAAACTTTTCGAAAAAAAAATGGACCAAAATGAACGAGAAAGGATCATTTGTCAATCAAGCAAAATTATCAGAAATGTTAAAAGTTTCTTTTTTCGGAAATATTTTTGTAAATTTTTTGGAATTATTTTGTAGAACAACATATAGAGGAAGTTTAAAAAAAAATTTTTCAAAAAAAAAAAGAAGACATATATATAGAGAGAGAGATAGAGACACAGAATTAGAAATTCGTTTTTTCGTCTACCGAGGCCGTCTGACGATCCCTCAGCAACGTCACTAAGGGCCCGACGATGTTTATTGTTGCCGCCCTTTGTCGTCGGCCGATGACACGAAATCAGCAAGATGGCGGCGGCACGTGCCGCACCTGCTCTCGACGCCGGCACCAATGGACCACGACTTCCTGCACTGCTCGGCCTCCTCGTGAAATTTAATGTTCCACCGCTGCTTCTCTGACTCGATTGGGACGAGGGTCGCTCACCATGAAGTGCATCGCCTACTATGCAAAAAAAAAAAAAAAATAAATACATTAAGTAGAATAGCCAAATTTTGGTCAGACTGAAAATTTAACTAAAGAATTTTTGTTCGAAATAAATATATTAACAGGGTTGCAAATTACAATATTTTTTATTTTTAAATATAAATTTTTTAAATAACTTCATAATCAAAATTTAAAAAATTCACTTATTAAGTATAAAATTTATTATTACTGTTCATATTTTCAAAAATTTTAATAAAATTTCGCGGAAAAATTCAATAATTTTTTATAAAATTTTGATAAATCCTTCTAAACAATTGAATTGTGTTTTTAAATAGTAATAATCTTTACAAAAATTTAATGATTTTCAAAATAATTTTTAATTGAATTCCTCGGATGAATTCAAATATTTTTAAATATTTCCATAAATTTAAATTATTTTTAAATATTTCCATAAAAAATTATTTTTAAATATTTCCATTAATTTAAATTATTTTAAAAAACTTTAATAAATTCTTCAAAACAATTCAACTATCTTTATAAGTACTAAAATTCTTTGCAGGAATTAAATAATTTTGTATCAAATTTAAATAAAATTACATGAAAGAATTTAATTATTTTCAAAAATTTCCATAAAATTCAATTTCAACAAGAATTTAAAATTCTCTAAAAATAATTCAATTGAGGCCTTGGATCCAATAACTCGCCCGACGCTCGAAGACACGCGCTAATACCAGTCGGGTAGCAGTGAGTGGCCCAGAGGCGCTCACTGCTCACTGACTGGCTGTTACGCGTTCCTCCGAGCGTCGGGCGAGTTATTGGATCCAAGGCCTCAATTAGTCTCAAAATATTTTTAAAAAATTCTATATAAAACTTAAATTACTTTCAATGCAATTTTTAAATATATTCGTCAAAAAAAAATTGAAAGAATTCAATTATTTTCAAAAAATAATAAAATTCTTGTGATGAATTCATTTATTTTGATTTTGAATAAACTTCATTTTAATAAAATTCTTTAAAGAAATTTCATTATTTTCGTATTAACCTTAATTGAATTTCTCGAAAAAATTTCATTATTTTCAAATATTTCTATAAAATTCTTTATAACAATTTAATTATTTCTTAAAATTTTAATAAATTCTTCGAAATATTTCCATTATTTTTATAAATTGAAAAAATTCTTCGCAAAAATTCAATTATTTTTATAAATAGAAAAATCCTTTGGAGGAATTTAATTATTTTTAAAACAGTTTTAATTGAATTCCTCGGATGAATTCAAATATTTTTAAATATTTTCAGAAATTTCAATTATGTCCTAAAATTTTAATAAATTCTTGGAAACAATTTAACTATTTTTATAAATAGTAAAATTCTTCGCAAGATTTCAATTATTTTTAATTCACTTTTAATAAAATTCTTCTTCATAAAATTTAATTGCTTTCAAAATTTTTAATTAATATTATTCAAGAAACTCCATTAGTTTAAAAAAAATTCAAAGAAATTCTTAAAAAGAATTTAATTAGGATTTTTAAAAATTTTAATAAAATTCTTTGTGAAAATTCAGTTATTTTCCTAAATAATAAAATTCTTTGAAGGAATTTTATTATTATCAAATTTTTTTGATAAAATCCTTTGCAATAATTCGATGATTTTCAATACATTAATTTTAAAATTGAAAATATTTGAAAAGAAAAATTATAGAAAAGTTAAGAAACAAAAAAGCAAACAACAACTAACTCTAAACTACGAACAGATTACCGGAACACGTACTTTATTATTATTAATTAATTAATGTTATAATTATTTTTTTTTCTATAATCAATTCAAAATTGTAATGAAAAATTATAATAAAATTGATCATAGAATACAATTATTTTCGTAAAATATAACATTCTTCCTAGGAATACAATTATTGGCAAAAATGTTTGTAAAAATCTTCGAAACAATTCAATTATTTTTGTAAAAAATAAAATTTTTCGAAGCAAATCAATTATTTAAGAAATTTTAATAAAATTCTTGCCAAGAATTCAATTCATTTCAAAAATAAACATTTTCAAAGGAATTCAATAATTTAAAAAAAAAATTTTTTATTCATCATTAGATTTCAATTATTTTCAATTTTTTAATAAATTTCGTCGATAAAATGTAATATTTTTCACAAAGTTTTAAAAAATTTTGAGAAATTCAATTATTTTATAAAATTTAAATAAAATTCTTCACAAGAAATTAAATTAATTAAATAAACGCATTTACCCTTGAATAATTTCAAAATGCAAAAAAATATCTAATCAACAACAGCTTTTTAGAAAGACTACGAGAACAGAGTCGACACCTCTCACAAATGAAATAGTTAATTTCTTGTTAAACGATATAAAAAAGATGAAGTTCTTAAGAATAATTTTTTGTTTTTTTACTCTTGAATAGTTTTATTCTTTGCTGATTAATAATGAAACAAAAGAATTTTTTTGAGGTATAAATGTCAAAAAAACAATATAAAAAAATAAAACATAAAAACAATATCAAAAAAGCAATATTAATTTAAATTTTAAATTTATAAATTAATTAGTAGTTAATTATTAATCATTGATTGTATTTATTTAATTAAAAGCATTTGTTTACTACGTCAGAATTGTTTTCTTTATCAGTTCATAACCATTATGATATACCATTATCATAATCATATGGAAAGTTTTGTTATTTATGAAAATAATTGAATTCTTGCAACGAATTTTATTACATTTTTTTTAAATAATTGAATTCATGTGAAAAATTGTATTACTTGTAAAAATTATTGAATTCTTGGGAAAGATTTTATTAAAATTTTTGTAAATATAATTTAATTTTTTTTTTTTGAAAAATGCTATGGAAATTTAAATTATTATAAAAAGTTAAATTTCATAAAGATTTGAATTTGAAATTTTTTGAAAATCTTAATTCTTATGGAATAATAATAATAATTAAATATTTTTATTATTTTTTTATTTATTGTGTTTAAAAGAACCTTCTGCTATAATATCGAAAGTAATAATTAAAACAATTGAACACTTCTCGAAGGGCTAATTCCACCAACCTCAATTAAAAGTTAATCAATGATTAAAGTCAGTTTAACGGCTCATGATTGCTTGATTGAGGATTTAATCATTCGTTAACTTTTAATCAGTATTGGTGAAACTGGCCCTAATATAGGAAAATTTGAAGGTTTTGTAGTTGAAAATCAATTTTTTTGTTAAAAATAATAGAATTTATTATAAACTATAAATTGATTTATGTATCAATATTATTAAACGTTTGCAGAGTTGAATTATGTAAATTTAATTTCATATAATTATGTGTAGGCAATATATGTAAACAATTGTCAAAATAAAATCTGTCATTTAATTAAACAAAATTCTATTCTTCTTCAGTTGTCTTGAAAAAAATTTTTTTTTTTTAAATCCTCATATTTTTTATTATTTATTCTCTCTTTTACTTATTTCTATGATTATTTGATTATTAAAAATTTTTTCCCCGTTTATTTAATAAATGTATTTATAAATTATAATTGAAAATCACTCTTATCAATAGCATAACTAAATTATCTCTGTTTATTTGTGTCATATAATTTTGTGTCCTCTGAATATAATTTACTTCTAACTTTAAACATAATCAAATCAGAAACTCAAATGCATTGAATTCATGTTCACAATGACAATGAAATTTCAATATTTGCAGTTACATTGAATTAAGCTTTCGTAATAAGTAAACTTCAATTAAAAATTTTTATAAACTTCAAATCAAAAACAATTCTCACGCCTACATTGAATATCATGATTAGCTATGATAATATTAATATATTAATATTTTAATATATTAATAATAGTAATATCAATAATAATAATTATTAATATATAGAATTATAGAAAAAATAGAAATAAATAATTTTAAAAAAATTAAATTTAAATAGTATATATTTTTTCATTTCATTTTATAATAATGACAATAATAATAATAATGATAATAATAATAGTTATTATTATATCATTAAAAATGTAATTCGTTTCAATAGAATTTTGTGAGATAAATTTTGTTTACAATCTATCAGTGTCATCTTGTGTCATTAGGGAATGGAAGCTTTGAACAATTTGACTTACTTGTAAATTTACATCTACTAGAGCAAATATATTCATTTAAACTTAGAGTGTAAGAAGAAGACAAATCGTTCTATTATTCGGTGATTATTCTCCATTCGTCCTGTGGTTGGCAATGCCAAGTGTGTCTTCAACTGAGATAAACATAAAATTTACGATCTCCGAGCAAACAGTTATTGTCATTAAGAAAAATAAAATTTACATTTTTCTTTAATACAATTTTTTATTTATGTATTAATTTTTTATAAGAAAATTTTTTTAATAATTTTTTAAATAATTTTTTAAATAATTTTTTTTTTTTGATTCTCAATGATGTTATTCAGAGGAATAGAAGTAAAATGAAAATATAAAAATTAAAATAAAAATAAAAAATAAAAATAAATTTTAATTAATGGTAATTAATTAATTATTATTCACCTGTATCACTGGAAAAAAGCATTGGTGGCGCATGATTCGCATTGGCGAAATGTCTCGGCCTTGTGTATCTCGTTGAACTGAATAATTTCAGTACAAAGCATATTAAAAATGTAAATACTGCTAGGCCTGCTGCAATTCCGAGTAGTGTCGGGAAGTCCGTTTTTATCAGCACCAAGTCTATGAAAAATGATTGAATTTATTAATGGGAAAAAGTTAATTTAAAAGTTTATTTTTAATTAATAAAGTTTTAATTCATTTTACATTTGCATTTTACAGATTAATTCCACATAATGTTAAAATAATAAGAAATTAAAAAAATGTCCGACTAAAATTGACTTTTATCACTTGCGCCGAATTTAAAAGAATTCAAAATTTTCTGTCGGACTAAAAACTCTTCTCTACTACTGCTACGAAAATTTCGTTTTTGCTACTAATTGTTCCCTCCTAGAGAAAGTATTTCAACCTCGTAGGGACATGGAGCAAACATGTCTGACTAATACAGGTCTTTACTACTTAAATTTGAATTTTCGAAGAATAAAAAACTATTTTTGCTATACCAATGACAAAATTGGTGAAAAAAAACCCCTTCTTAAGGAAAATCTACTTTTCGCAAAAATTTATAAAAATTTTTTGAATAGTCGTCTGACTAAAATTGGTTTCTACTACTGAATCTAAAAATATCTCAAATTTCTACTTTTTCGATATTTGTTTCTAAGAAAAAGAGGATAAATTTACAAGGTTCGAAATACTCTAGTCTGACTAATATTCACTTTTACTACTGAATCTTTAATTCACTAAATTTTCATGTCTCGCTTGTACTTACTTTTCCTACTAACAACAAAATTACAACAAAATTTAATGTTTCTATCTACTAGAATTTTTGGAAAAATTAAAGAACTTTGAAAATGATTCGTCTGACTAAAACTTTATATCACTACTGACAATAATACAAAGATTAACAGATTCCTTTAGTGGATAATGAATTATAAAAATTTTTGTAATTATAAATTTATTTAATTTATAATTATACATAATGTAAAGTGTTCTATAAATTCATAATCACGGTTAATCTCCAGCATATAAGAACGACAGAATACTCAATCGGGCGCAATACTATTTGCTTGTTTTGCGCACGTCGAGTGTACACAGATGATAGAATGCATAAATATAGAGAGTAAACTTTATAACAAACGCCTATTTCCCTCTCAATTTTACAACTCACATATAGTAAGCTTTGAAATCGCCATTCTGCTTGCTCTCTGTTAAGCTGCGATTATTTTTTTTTTTGCTTAATATTTTCTCTCCAAAAAAATTGATAACTTTTGTAAAAATAAATTTTTTCTATTTTGATATGTAATTTTTAGTTTTTACTCTAATTTTATTTGTTAACATAGTTATGATTAGTTTATTTAATTTAATTTTTTTTTTAAAGAAATGGTGAAAAATACATTTTGGTACAATGCATTTCTTAATTTATCATTTTATTTTCAGTAGGAGAACACGGTTTAATTATCAAAAAAACTTAAATACGTCATTTATTTAGGTAGTAAAAGTTAATTTAAGTCAAACTGTATGTGAATACATTTTTCTGTTTAATTTCATTATCGTAAAAATGTTATTAATTAGGGAATATTTTACTACAGTATAAATTCTTAGTAGAAACTTTAGATTTTAGTCCGACAAATGGTTTGCTAGTTTTAGTCTCAGTAGTAGTAAACATTTATAGTCAGACTGAGAAAATCTAATTATCGATTTTTAGTTTTATTAGTAATAAATAACAAAACTTACTATAAATTTTCAAGTTTTAAGTAGTAATAGACCGTTTCAGTCAGACAAGAGTTATATTAATTTTCTTTTAGTAGTAATATTCATTAATAGTCAGACTAATTTTTAGTCCATGATTTCTAGTTTTATTAATAAAAAATAATGCTTAATATATTCTTGTACTTTTTCAGTAGTAATGACCATTTTTAGTAAGACAAAACTTTTATTAGCTTAGTCTGAATAGTAATATACATTTATAGTCAGACTGAATAATTTTGTTAATTATTTTTCAGTTTTTAGTTATAACAAATAACAAAATTTATTAAAATTTTGTTTTAAGTAGTAATCGACCGATTTAGTCAGACAAAAATTTTTTTAATTTACTTTTAGTAGTAATATCCACTAACAGTCAAACTGAATAATTTCAATTACTATCATTTAGTTTTAACAACACTTTTATATCAGTAAAGAGAGGAGAAGATAATATTTATCGTAGTTTTGTAATTTTTTAGTAGTAATGACCAGTTACAGTCGGACAAAAATTGTAATAGTTTATTTCAAGTAGTAACATTCTTTCGGAGTCAGACATCATAATTTTGAATATTGCCTCTTAGTTTTAGTACCAATCGAAATTATCGCTTAATATAGTGTTGAGCTTTTCAGTAGTAATGACCAGTTATAGTCAGACATAAATTTAAATAGTTTATTTTCAGTAGAAGTATTCTTTAATAGTCAGACTGAAATCATTTTTATTACTGTCTTTTAGTTTTAGTAACACACTTTTAATAACAGTAAAAAGAAAAAAATGTACAATTTATTCTAGTTTTGTAATTTTTCAGTAGTAAAGATCATTATTGGTCGGACACAAATTTTCTTGCTTTAATCTCAGTAGTAATAACCAACAATAGCCAGACTGAATAATTTTGAATTGTCTTTTACTTGCATTAGTAGTAAATATCAAAGTTTATTTTTCTTTAATTTATCAGTAGTAAAACCAGTTTTAGTCAGACAGAAGTTTTCTATCTTAATATCAGTAATAATCTTCACTAACAATCAGACAGATTTATTTTGATTATTATTGAAATTTTATTTTAGTGTATTAATTTTAGATTAATTAATTTAGATTAATTTTAATAAAATTTTGTAATTTTTGAGTAGTTTTTAATTTTAGTCAGACATACATTTTCGTTGACATTTTGTATCATTATTTAGTATCCATCAACAGGCAAACTCAATTATTTCGAGCTTTATAATTAATTATTTTTTAATATATACATTTTGCGATTAATATTAACGATTTTCCAACTTTTTTCACAATTATTTAAAAGTAATATTACCAATTATAAAAAAAATTACAATTACCAATTATAAATAATTATTTGCAAATAAATAGTAAAATTTTAATTACTTAAATTCACTTTCAGTGGTAATTGTCAATCTTCAGTCAGTCCTGATTTACAATCTAGAGAAAAGTATTAAATATTTACAAAATATCCAAATTTAAATATTTTTAATTACCTATTTAAATAAGATTTAATATAAATAGAATTTAAAATTCTAGAAAATATCAAACAAATTTATGATATAATTTCATAAAAAATTACCATTTAGTTTTTCTAAATTATAAAAAAAGAAGGATGTGAAAAATTTTTTTATATTTCTAATTTTTTTCCGACTCTCTGTATAAAGTCTTGAAGTACAACCGCTAATCCCTCAGGTTATGTATAAAGTTTTTTTTTCAACAATAGAAATAAGAAAAGAGTACAAATGTTTGCGTTTGACTACATTTATGCCTATTGTAGTTGAGAAATAAAAAATGTTTGTTGAATATTTAATTTCTTTTCGTTTTTTTCTTTTTTTGAAAAAAATGATTATTTATAAATATTGAGAAATTTACCTTCAGCGCAGAATACTTTCTTGTTAGGTCTTGACAACGCGACCCTATGATACCCTTCCTCACAATCGCACACTGCATTGTGTTGAACTTGTGTACATGTCGAGTGCTGATCAGCGAATGTACAGCTTGCTCGATAGAAACATTGTTCGCCGAGTTTCTTCGCTAAAATTAAATTATTTTTTTAATATTTCATAATTAACTTTCTCGTACTTCCATTTTTAATAAAAGTTTGAAGTTTAATTAAAATAAAAGTGAAAACATTTGAATTAAAATAAAACAATTTAAAATTAAATTATTAAAAGTATAATGATAATAATAATAAAAATAATAATAATAATAATAATAATAATAATAATAATAATAATAATAATAATAATAATAATAATAATAATAATATTTACAATATTAAAAAAAATAACAATAACAAGAGCAAAAAGTAACAATAATATTCAATAATAAAATATTTTACGTTAATTGGGAAATAAATTAACTTAATTAAAAAATTTAATATTAATTAAAAAGTTTAACAATACAAGGCCGAAGGCGAACGAAAGACAAAAATAATAGCAACTCGTTATAATTCGAATGAAAAGAAATAAATTAATGGTGCTCTATAAATGTGTAGAATAATGTAACGTATTTCATGATCTCTTTCGCATTAAATTCACATGCACTACGCTTAAATAGCTTTTCAACAATTTTCATTATTTACTTATTATAATTTTTCCTTGAATTTTTCTTTTTCTTTTTTTAATATATTTTCTCAAAGTGAATTAACATTAACTTTCAAATTAAATATGAATAAAAATTAAAATTTAATTAAGTGAATGAAAATTATAAATTAAACTAATTAAAATTGAATTGTAATGAAGTTATTAAAAATTAAATTTTAATTAAATAAATTTTTAATTTTTGAATAAAATTTACAGGAAAAATATTTAGAATTTCGAATTGAAACAACTTACGTTTGGCACAACCCTTGCTTGGCCCGAGGCGCACTGGGTAAAGTTTCTCGCACTCACACCTGTGAGTGATGGAGTCGCAGAAAACGTGTTGTAATAATGGATTGCATGTGACGTTACATGGCGAGCCCAAGTATTTGCCGTTTTCTATAATAATAAAGACCACTTTAATCTAGACACTAGTCGGGGAATTATTTAATATTTTTATAATCAAATTTTATAAATTCACATTTTAATTAAATAAAGTTTTTTTTTATTTTGAAAGTTAATTTAAAAATTTGACAAAATTAAAATTAAGTATGTAACAAATTAACAAAAATTTATTAATAACAAAATAAGTAGAACAAAATAATTTTAGTCAGACAATGATTTTAATTTATTTGCTGTTTTTTGTAGAATAAATTTTTAATTACTTTTTTCTATCGACATTTTTAACTTTTGTAAAAATTTTAACAGTCAACTTTCTTTACGCAAGTAGCTAAGAAAATGTAATGCTGAAGACAGTAGAATAAAACGATTTTGGTCAGACAATTTTAATTTTTTGATTATTTTCCATCCAAAGTAACAAATTTTTTCTTTTCTTGAGGGAAATTTTTTACTCACAATACTCACTGTGATAATGAACAAAAATTACCTAATAACAAAATCAGTGGAACAAAATAATTTAGGTCAGACAATATTATCTTCTTATAGCCTATTTTTTCAAAAAAGAATTTTCATTTAAGTAAAAAACTTTATTACACATTTTTTTTATTCAAGTAGAGAGTAAGGATCAAAATTTAAAATAATTGGAATTAGTGGAAAAAATCGATTTTGGTCAGACAATTTTACCTTTTTTTTAATCATTTTCCATCCATAGTAACAAATTTATCTTTTTATTGCAGCAAAATTTTATACATACAATAACAAATTATTATTTTATGTGAATACATTAGAGTGAGATAATTAACCAAATTTAATTCAGAGAAAATCAGTAGAACAACTTAATTTTAGTCAGACAATATTTTTAAGTGGTAATGTATTTTTTAAAAATAACTTTTTAATTCTTTTTCTTCTAAAATTTCTCACTTTGATAAAAAATTCAATACTCAATTATCATTACGAAAGTAAATAAAAAAATGTACTACCGAATATTCAGATAATTTCAAATTAATAAAAAATAATTGAGAAGAAAATCAGTGGAACATAATAATTTTAGTCAGACAATGTTTTCAATTTACATTCTTTTTGCTAAGAGTATTTTTTTAGATTATTTTTCTTCAGAAATTTCTCGTTTTGATAAAAATTGTAATAGTCAATTTTCTCTATCTAGTCAAGTAACTAAAAATACAAAAACAGTAGAATAAATCAAATTTTGGTCAGACAGATTCAATTTTTTATTCATTATCCTTTCAAAGTAAAACCTTTTTTCTATGCTTGAAAGAAATTTTATTCTCAGAGAAAGAAATTGTAGGGTGTAAATTACATTCACATAAAAAATAATAATAAAATTCACATGAAAATTAAAAAAAAATCAGTAGAACAAAATAGTTTTAGTCAGACAATATTTTCAATGTTTAATGTATTTTTTACAGTAATGTTTTAATTGTTTTTCTTCTTAAATTTCTCACTTTGATAAAAATTACAACATGAAACTATCCTCACGCAAGTAAATAAAAAAATTTACTATAAAAAATTATTCAGATAATTAACAAAAACTAACCAAGAAAAAAATCAGTAGTACAAAATAATTTTAGTCAGACAACTAAATTTCTAATCAATTTTTTGTTTCTTTTTCTTCTGAAATTTTTCACTTTAGTAAAATTTTGTAATTGTCAATTTTCTCTTCTCCATTAACTCAAAAGACTTTAAAATAAAAAGAAAACAGTAGAGAAAACCGATTTTTGTCAGACAATTAAAATTTTTAATTCATTTTTCATACAAAGTAATGTTAGTAAAGTGTTTAAAAATAAATTTTTTTTTTAAATTTAATTAATTTTTAAATTAAAAATTCACATAAAAATTAAAAGAAGAATCAGTGAAACAAAATTATTTTTGTCAGACAATATTTTCAATTTTTAATGAATGTTTTTAAAGAAATTACCTAATTGTTTTTCTTCTAAAATTTCTCACTTTGATAAAAATTACAACATGAAACTATCCTTACGCAAGTAAAAAAAAATCTACAAAAAAATTATTCAGATAATTAACAAAAATTAACCAAGAAAAAAATCAGTAGTACAAAATAATTTTAGTCAGACAACTAAATTTCAAATCAATTTCTTGTTTCTTTTTCTTCTGAAATTTTTCACTTTAGTAAAATTTTGTAATTGTCAATTTTCTCTTCTCCATTAACTCAAAAGACTTTAAAATAAAAAGAAAACAGTAGAGAAAACCGATTTTTGTCAGACAATTAAAATTTTTAATTCATTTTTCATACAAAGTAATGTTAGTAAAGTGTTTAAAAATAAATTTTTTTTTTAAATTTAATTAATTTTTAAATTAAAAATTCACATAAAAATTAAAAGAAGAATCAGTGAAACAAAATTATTTTTGTCAGACAATATTTTCAATTTTTAATGAATGTTTTTAAAGAAATTACCTAATTGTTTTTCTTCTAAAATTTCTCACTTTGATAAAAATTACAACATGAAACTATCCTTACGCAAGTAAAAAAAAATCTACAAAAAAATTATTCAGATAATTAACAAAAATTAACCAAGAAAAAAATCAGTAGTACAAAATAATTTTAGTCAGACAACTAAATTTCAAATCAATTTCTTGTTTCTTTTTCTTCTGAAATTTTTCACTTTAGTAAAATTTTGTAATTGTCAATTTTCTCTTCTCCATTAACTCAAAAGACTTTAAAATAAAAAGAAAACAGTAGAGAAAACCGATTTTTGTCAGACAATTAAAATTTTTAATTCATTTTTCATACAAAGTAATGTTAGTAAAGTGTTTAAAAATAAATTTTTTTTTTAAATTTAATTAATTTTTAAATTAAAAATTCACATAAAAATTAAAAGAAGAATCAGTGAAACAAAATTATTTTTATCAGACAATATTTTCAATTTTTAATGAATGTTTTTAAAGAAATTACCTAATTGTTTTTCTTCTAAAATTTATCACTTTAATAAAAATTTCAACATGAAATTACAATTTTCCTACTCAAGCAGAGAGTAAGGATCAAAATTAAAAATAATTAGAATCAGTGGAAAAAATCGAATTTGGTCAGACAATTTTGATTTTTCTTCATTTTTCTTTCTAAGTAACGAATTTTTTTCTTTCCTTCAGGGAAATTTTTTACACGGAGAAAGAAATTGTAGGTTGTGAATTACATTCACATAATTAATAAAAATTAAAAAAAGAATCAGTGACACAAAATAATTTTTGTCAGACAATATTTTCAATTTTGAATATAACTTTTTACAGTAGTAATTTAATTGTTTTTCTTTTAAAATTTCTCACTTTGATAAAAATTACAGCATGAAATTATCCTTACGCAAGTTAAAAAAAAATCTACAAAAAAGTTATTCAGATAATTAACAAAAATTAACTAGGGAAAAAATCAGTAGTACAAAATAATTTTAGTCAGACAATATTTACAATTTCTAATCCACTTTTTTTACATACACAGTAAAACGTGAAGTGTTAAAATAACACCAGAATGGATTAAAATAATCTGCAACAGTTTAATCCCTCTAGGATTAAATTAACATACCAGAAAGGATTAAAATAATCTATTTTTATGTTATTTTTAACTATGAATGAAATTTTACTTTAAATAAAACACCAAATTCTAATCTTTTGTTTCTTTTTCTTCGGAAATTTTTCACTTTAGTAAAATTCTGCAATGGTCAATTTTCTCTTCTCCATTGACTTAAAAGACTTTATAATAAAAAAAAACAGTAGAAAAAATCAATTTTGGTCAGACAATTTTAATCTTTTATTCATTTTCCATACAAAGTAATGTTGGTAAGTGTTTAGAAATAAAAAATTTTTTAAATAATTAATTAATTTTTAAATTTGTTTAAATAAAGAAAAATTAAAATAAAAAAATACCAATTAATTTCAACGTAAATATGAAAATTTTCGATGAAAGGAGGATGTTATGAAAGGAAAAGAAAACGAAAATAAAATTGTATAAAAAGGAACGTCCTCTTTATATAAAAGAAAGTTAAACTGGCAATTTAACAGGTTACGGAATGTCTGGAAAGAGAGAGAGCGAGAGAGAGAGAGAAAGAGAGAGAGGTCAAAGGGCGTTCAATGTTGGAATATCGTGCCAATATAGTTTCGAGAGAGAATTGTGAGGTCGATAAAAGTACCATCGAGGTTATATAGAAGCGCAGCATTTATTTAGGCTTGGCGCGAAATAAGGGTCTGTTCTCATTTTATGGACGTTATCGTAAAGCCTCTCCCTCATTGCCTATATGTATACTATGTATATATATATATATATATATATATAAAATTTGTATATATACATGTATATAGTCATTATATGACAGTTTTGTAGTATTATAATGGAATATGGCACAGAAAACGTGGTCCAAGTTGCATTCATTAAAATCAATACATCCTCTCACGTAGGCTTTTCTGCACGTGCATTTTCCCTCGTAGAAAAGTGACTTCTATGTTTTCCGGGTGAATCTAGACACGTGCGTTTCATCACTATATTATTATTATTTTTATTATCATTATTATTATTGTATATACTGCAAACTACAGTTATTGAAACAACTCAATAATAATTGATCTATAGATCTTTTCTAAAGACAAAAGCTTCGCAAAGTAGGTTGCACTCAACAAAACATGTGGCAACTCCAATGTTGATATTATACAATTCTTGGATTTTTCAAAAAAAAAAAAAAAAAAAAAATAAGCGCAATTGTCATTTCTTTTAATAGCCGTAATAGGAAGAAATAAATTACTATCTAAAAATAGGAAAAATAGAAAATTTGTATGAAAAACGATGATATAATTGTTATTTTTGCCTAAAAATATTTATTGCTGTTTTATCATATAATTATTGTTCTGATCCATACTATTTTTGTGTTTTTGAATTATATATTGAAATACATGTAGGTAATTTAAAGAGAATATTTAATTACTAGAAAATAATCCATTTTTTTAAGGCAAAGTGTAAAATTTGCAAGAAAAGTGAAGAG